ATACATCCTTCTCCAGCTCTGTCCAGAACCCTCTGTTGTGATCCTGGTCAGAGCAGTCAGTGGTGGTAGCCGGGCACCATCTAGCTGTACTGGACTCACTCCGGTGGAGGCCTTGGTAGATGTGGACAATTAGTCCTTTGGACTAATCTTTTCTTGTATCCTGTTCTCCTCATTCTCCCTTGCTCCCGAAGGGATGAGACCAGTGGAATATCTCAGATGGCCGCTCACAGGCTTTTAAGACCCCAGACACTACTCACCAAGGTAGAATATTGTCTTTATAAGCTGTGTCATGCCAGTTGAGCTAGATGTTCCCCGAGACCATGGTCCCCACAGCCCTCCACCCAGCAATTCAGTCCCGCAGGGAGTCTGGATGTGTCCATGGGACCTCCATGACCTTTCCTTGTACAAGTTGTGCTAGTTTCCCCTGTATCGTGTACTGAGATGACATGGATTTTGCATCTCCCGAATGACACACGTGCATTTATAACCCTATGAGAGCCCTCTGCTCCCTGCTATACGTCAGCCCTCCCTACCCTCTGGACAACCTTCCACTGACCTCCTGTCTACTCTCTAGAGGAGTCCCTGGGTGGCACAAATGATTAAGTGCTTGACTACTAACTGAAAGGTTGGTGGTTCGAATCCACCCAGAGGCCTGGCGATTTGCTTTCAAAAGGTCACAGCTTTGAAACCCTATGGAGCAGTCGCACTTTGCACACATGGGGTGGCCATGAGTTGGAATTGACTCAGTGGCAACTAACAACCACAACTAGGCTCTAGAGCACTGTTCCACATCTGTACTGTCTGATACAGTAGTCACTACCCCCACGTGGCTGCTGAGGACTTGAAATGTAGCTAGTGCGGCTGAGGAACTCAATTTTTTACTTCATTTAATTTAATGTAAATTTAATAGCCACACGTGGCCAGTGGTTTCTGTACTGGACAGCACAAGGAGTCTAGCATCTTCTACAATAGGGGCCCATCTACTCATGAATCTGTTTTTAGTTGACAAACTTAATAGCTTAGAGGGGAAAGAGAAAGTAATGAAAAAACAGAAATACCAACAGCACAGCAAGATGCACCCCTCCATTGAGGCCTGTGAAGGAAGCCTGACCTTCAAGAGTGGATTCCTACCCATTACCTCCTAGCCCAAAGGGTCATGTCCCTGTCTCTCCCCTTAAGTCTCCGGCTGACACCCGACTGTTCTACCCTCACTTCTCTGTGGTAAAAATACACCCTGGGACTGAGGGTGGGGAGGTGAATTCAGCTCAAGTTTCTCTTGGCTGGTCACTTTCAGCCTATTACTCCTGGAATTCCTCCATCTGGAATTCCCAACATTCCCTCTGAGGAATTCCTCCATGAGGGAGTCCCAATGTTCCCCTGCCCAAACCAAAAAGCAAACCAAACCCACTGCCGTCAAGTGGATTCCGACTCACAGTGACCCTATAGGACGGAGCAGAACTGCCCCATAGGGGTTCCAAGGAGCACCTGGTGGATTTGAACTGCAGACCTTTTGGTTAGCAGCCGAACTCTTAACCACTCCGCCACCAGAGCTCCTTCTCAACCTTATGCATTAGAATTTCTGGCATGGGTGTTAAATGCAGATTCCTGGACCCCAACCCAGACTGAGTCAGAATCTTGGAAAAGAAGGTGACCATCTGCATTTTTAACAAGGTGATTTTTACTAACACCACAGGTGGAGAGCCAAGTGCAACCTCTACAACACGCCTTCCCCACTCTCCTGAGGTTTCCTACAGAGACAACCACACCACATGGGAGAGAGCTGATAGACCTGACCCTTGTCCTAGGTGATCACAGTCACTCTGTACTTCCTACTCCACACACTGCGCTAAGGAGACAGACATTACGTGGATTTTCACTCCATCCGTTTTCAAAAAGCTGTCCTGGATCTACCTCCTTTTCATAACTTTACCTCTTTATCTTTAAACCAATGATGTTGTAGTTGATGCGTGCCATTGAGTCAATTCTGACTCATAGCGACTCTATAGGACAGAGCAGAACTACCCCTTACAGTTTCCTAAGCTGTAGTCTTTACAGGAGCAGATCTCCAGGTTTTTTTTCCTACAGAGCCACTGGTGGATTTGAACCACCGACCTTCTGGTTAGCAGCTGAGCGCTTAACTGTTATGCCACCAGGCCTCCTTAAAACCAATTAGTCTGTAGAGAAATAAGATAACTTCAAACACATTATGTCTGAAAGCCAACAATCCCCTCACCTGCACAGCCTGGAAAGCACCAAGTCTCTTCCTTGGCAGAGAAAGTCGCAGCAGCCCTAGTAAGCTCACCCTCCTCAGGCTTTTGCATCTTATCAGTTGTTGAGCTAAGGCGGTCAAAGTGTACTTGGGAGGAAGGACCTGTGCCAAATGGCCGCTCACCAAACTAACAAGTCCCTGTAGGTGAAAGCACTGGAGAAGTATGCTTGATTGCATCGTTAAAGCTCCAGTTCTTCATATTCTCAAAGGAGCGTTACAATTCTTCCTGTCGTGTGCCACCAAGTGGATTCCGACTCATAGCAATCCTACAGGACAGAGAAGAACTGCCCCATAGGGTTTCAAGGCTGTAATCTTTATGGAAGCAGATCCCCAGGTCTTTTCTCTCACAGAGTAGGCTGCTGGGTGTGAACCGCTGACCTTTCGGTTAGCAGCGGAACGCTTATCTATGTGCCACAATTCTTCTTAGCTAGATGTAATTTAAGAAGTTTGGGTTGTCTTAAATATTGCCCTTGGCTTAGTCGAGTCCTACACGTCTAACAATGCCTAGCAGATAGTTTTAGGGTACCTGCTCCAGATAATCTGTTTAAAATAACATTCTGTTTCTAATTCACACAATATTCAAATCTGAGAGAGGATTTTTTATTTTTATATCATCATTATTATTTTTAATGCTATGGATGTGGCAAGAAACTGAGCTCTGGAAACTTGGTCTGGTCCCGACCACCTCTCCCCTCCCTCAAACCTCTCTGACCCTCAAGTTCCTTTTCTGTAAAATAAGGGACACTCTTTATTTTAGCACTAATGTTTTAAAATTCTACTATAAATGTGTATCCTGCACACTGCAGCATGAATCAGTGACCAGGTCACATGGCCATTCTAGCAAATGTTGGGTCAGAACAGAAAACCATGGAGACAGACTTTAGAACCTAAGTGCCAACACCTTCCTGGAGTTGATAAACTTTACCCACAGATTCCAGAGAAAATAACAAACTGTGACCACAGTCATGGCCACCCTAAGCTGTACGTATTGAGCAGAGAACCATTCAGGAAGGGTATACTTTAACAAATATCATTATACTACAAGAACACAAATAAACTGCCTAAAACCATAAATGGCTTTGCTGATGTGGGGAAAATAAATTTTAATGAAGAAGACTGCAGCAGGATGGAATGCTTTTATATGGTCTTTCTCATCATGGTCTTCAACTCCCACCAAATGATTGGGTAGGATTATGCAAATAAGGTGCTTGTGGCCCACCAAGGGGATTGGACAGCTTGCTAATAATGCAAATAAGGTGCATTGCACCCTTGTGGGGGCGGGACCATGCAAATAAGATATATGGAACCCTAACGAGGGGATTGGTCAGTTTCCCCATCCTGCTAGGCTGAAAATGAGGCATCCCAGAGGTGGGAAGGGGGTACCTCACCACCACCAAGAAGAGATGGGAATGGAGCATGTCCTTTGGACCCAGGATCCCTGTGCTGGGAACCTCCTAGACCCAGGAGACAGAGAAGGAGAGCTAGAAGGAGGGCAAGAAGCAGCAGCAAAGACACGGTGGCAGCAGAACTAAGAGACCAGCAGGAGACAGCACACTAGACTTCCTGATCCCCAGAGCGAGAGAACTGAGTGCCTTCAGGCAGGAGGCTTGCTGGCAGACGAGAGTGCCTCTAGACACTTGGCGAAGCTAGGACTGCTGACACAGAGAGGAAGAGAGCTGAGAGCCTTCAGACCGAGGCCTCCTGGCAGAGTGGGGTGCCTCTGGCCACTTATCAGTGGAGGTAGACAGCTTTGTAACACTTGCTTGAGCTGGGCAGAGACCAGGCCAAGGGCCAGAGAGAGACCTGCCTGTGAGCACGGCTGAGAACAGGCTGTCCTGATTGAAGAACTGTATCCTGAGTATTTCCTGATCTTGAATTGTAACTCATTACTTCCCTAAAAAACCCCACAATCGTTGAGTATGGTCTGTGAGTTCTAGGTGGCCATTGCAACGAATTATTGAACCCAGCAGAGAAGTAGAGAGTGCCATGGGAGGGACAGCTGGTGTCAGAATTAGTAAAAAGGCTGGAAAACCAAACCAAACTAAACCCACTGCCATCGAGTTGACTCTGACTCATAGCAACGCTATAGGAGAGAGTACAACTGCCCCACAGAGTTTCCAAGGAGCGGCCGGTGGATTTGAACTGCGAACCTTTTGGTTAGCAGCCAAATGCTTAACCACTGTGCCACCAGGGCCAGGAGGAGGTATGTCTGACCTCCACTTCATAGGAATTAGCCTTGGGCTGTTGATCTTGGTTCTCCTTCTCCCTTGTAAAGTTAGAGGAAGTCAATGCCTCCACCTCGCCATTTTTACAAACATAATCTACATAACAAATTTATAAATTCCTGTTTATCTGCAATCTGTTTATCAAAAACGTTGTCCATCATTAAACCTGATTCTTGGCCTCTTCTTACTTCTTGCCTCTGATGTAAGCATTTTTCCTTTCTACCATAATGCAACCACCACCTCTTTGTTCTGTAAACCAGTTTAACTTTTATAAAACCAATCACTTCGTTTTCACCTCACCCTAATTTGATAATCTCTACAGACAATCCAAGAAGCCCTGGTGGCACAACAGTTAAGCACTGCTAACCAAAAGGTTGGTGGTTTGAATACACTCAGCAGCTCCTCAGAAGAAAGACCTGGCAATCTACTTCTGTAAAGACTCCCACCCAAAACCCACTGCCATCGAGTTGATTCTGACCCATAGCACCCCTATAGAACAGAGAAGAACTGTCCCATAGGGTTTCCAAAGCTGTCAATCTTTTTTTTTTTTAATTGTTGTGCTTTATGTGAAAGTTTACAATTCAAGTTAGTCTCTCATACAAAAATTTATACATACATTGTTATGTGACCCTAGTTGCTCTCCCTATACTGTGACAGCACACTCTTCCTTTCCACCCTAGATTTCTCACGTCCATTCAACCAGCTCCTGACCCTCTCTGCCTTCTCATCTCGCCCCCGGACAGGAGCTGTCCATTTAGTCTCATGTATCTACTTGAGCTAAGAAGCACACTCCTCATGAGTATCATTTTATGTCCCATAGTCCAGTCTAATCTTTGTCTAAAGAGTTGGCTCGGGAATGGTTTTAGTTTTGGGCTAACAGTCTGGGGGCCATGTCTTCTGGGGTCCCTCTAGTCTCAATCAAACACACAGAGCAGCTGGTAGGTTTGAACCACTGATCTTTCAGTTAGCAGCGGAGTGCTTAACCACCACACCACCAGGGCTCCCTGTACAGCCAAGAAAACCCTATGGAGAACTTCTGCTGTCACATAGGGTTGCTGTGAGTTGGAATCGACCGGACAGCACACAACAACAGATAATCCTACCAGCTATAGCTGTTGAAGTTTGGCACTTTATCTTATCTCACTCAGCTCCACACCCCATGAGGCAGGAATGGAGAAAGTGGACCTGGCTGGTTCAAGGTGAGAGCAGTGGAGTTGGGACTGAAAACCGGGTCAGTCTGTAGATTCCAAAGTCTTTGTGCACTCCCAGTTACCGTGCTATATCCCTCTCACCAGAGAAAGAGAATCCAGTTACTTTTCTAAACTACGTGTTCATTTCTCCTAAATTCTCGGTATTTACTGTCATCGTCTTCATTCACTGCCATGTCTATAAAAATCCACCCATGTTCCCCGTTTGTTGCTGGGTGCCGTTGAGTCGATTCTGACTCATAACGACCTCAAGTGACAGAGCAGAACTGCTCCATAGGGTTTTCTTGGCTGTAATCTTTACGGAACATAAACAGAAATTCTCGCAATTGGATAAACAAGCAACATCATGGTAAATGAAGAAAATAATGAAGTTGTCAAGGATTTCATTTTACTTGGATCAACAGTCAATGCCCATGGAAGCAGCAGTCAAGAAAACCAAATGATGCATTGCAAAGGGCATATCTGCTGCAAAAGATCTCTTTAAAGTTCTTTTTAAAAAGCAAAGATGTCACTTTGATAACTAAGGTGTGCCTGACCCAAGCCATGGACTTTTTAATAGCCTCAAGTGCACGCAAAAGCTGGACAAGGAAAAAGGAAGACCAAAGAAGAACTGACGCCTTTGAATTATGGTGTTGGTGAAGAATACTGAATATACCATGGACTGCCAGAAGAATGAACAAATCTGTCTTGGACGAAGTACAGCCAAGAACGCTCCTTAGAAACAAGGATTGCTTACTTTGGACATGTTATCAGGAGGGACCAATGCCTGAGAAGGACATTATGCTTGGTAGAGGGTCAGTGAAAAAAAGGAAGACCCTCAACAAGATGGACTGACACAGTGGCTGCAACAACGGCCTTGAACATACCTACTATTGTGAGCATGGCACAGGACCAGGCAATGTTTCCTTCTGTTATACACAGGGTCGCTATGAGTTGAAACCGACTTAATCGCACCTAACAGCAACAATCTTCAGGGAAGCGGATCGCCAGCTCTTTCTCCTATGGTGCCTCTTGGTGTATCTGAAGCACTAACCTTTCGGTTGGAAGTGGAGCACTTAACCATGTGCACCACCAGGGCTCCTTCTTCCCTATTTAGTAATGCTGTATGTAATAAGCCATGTCAGTCTAGCACATACTCTGGAGAGGGGGGAGGGGAGAACAAGGAAGGAGCAGGCCAGTCAAGGAAAGGAACGAGATGAAGGGTGAGGGAGGTGCAGGCACGAATGGCTAGGCATCCTTGACAACTGCCCTGGCTCCGCACCCCTCACCAGTTGTTCCAAAGTTGGAAATGGCCGCTGGTCGGTGCACTGTCCCTCCAGGGCACAGCTGCTCCCCTCACCACCGTGGTGTCTTCCCCGACTTGCCTCTGGGGCAAGGCTTGTTTTGTGCAGCAAAGAATAAACATCTAAAACAAATGGCAGGAGCACCTGGGTGGCGCAAACGGTTACTAACTGAAAAGGCTGGGGGTTCCAACCCATCCAGAGACACCTCGGAAGACAGGCCTGGCTATCTGCTTCCAAAAGGTCACAGCCTTGAAAGCCCTATGGAGTGGTTCTACTCTGCACACACGGGGTCGCAACTGGCAACTAACAACAATAAAATATTAGCGTTTCAGCCCTTTTTCACTTTTCTAAACTATCAGTAAAATAAGTGACAGGAAGAGCGTTCTAAACTAAGCATTTAGTGGTTGATTATTTTGCAGAGGAAAAGTTACTGTCGTTTTAACTCAAATCGACAAATATTTACAGGTTTCTTGGTTGCAGGCCATGGAATTGGAGCGGTATTGCCCACGAAGTCCGGGCTTTTGCTTCCAGCTTAGGTCCGGGGGTACCCACGCGCCTCTGCCCGGCCACTCGGTCAGGCTATTACGCCTCCAGTATTACATTAAATAACCACTTCTTTTCACCGAAAAGTGCGAATACAAAACAAGACTTAACCTCCAAAAGCCAGCTTTTCATATGACCGGCCGCTGGGGACACAAGGACCAGCGGGGCCAGGTTTTTAAAGTTTAAATGTCGTCAACGCCTGGAAGGAGATCCCTGCCCGAGGACAAAGGCGGCACGGGCACGCCCCAGAGACGGTCACTGGGCGCCGCTACCCAGGCGGCAAGGAGACGGCGACGAGGTTCCCGACTTTGTTTTTCTGGATCAAAAACCTAAGCTACTCCCCCCAGCCCCAGCCCCCCAACCCCAGTGGACCTGAAAGCTTCCCTCCAAGACCCGCAACTCCTCGCTCCTGTCCAGGGAAGCCGGAGAAGCCCGGGCCCCCGCTCCCGTCCGCGCGCCCGGGCCCGCGCGCCCAGCCCCGCCGCCCTGAGGCCCGCGCGTGGCGCCCCTTCAGCGCCCCCACCTACCTACAAGCCGAGCCCCGCGCGAGCTCATCTCGGCCGAGCGCGAGGACGACCGCCCGCACCGACTCGGCTTCCTGAAGCCAGGGGCCCGCAGCCCCCGCCCCTTCCTCCGCCGTCTCCGCCCCCCGCGCCCTCCGTCTCCTCCTGCGGCCACCCGACCCGGGCGAGGTACTCTGGCCCCGCGCCGACCCGGGTCCTCGCCGCCCCGCCGTGCTTCCAGCCGAGTTACAACTCCTCTCCCCACCCCGGAACTCGTCCAGCCGGAGAGCCCGAGGGAGCCGGGGAGGGGACGCTATCTCGTCCGCCTCTGCCTGTGGAGACGAGCCCGGGCCTCGGGAAATGCGAATTGCCACCCCGAGGACAAACGCTGGCCCCAGTGTGGGAAGCCCGAGGCAGTTTCACGTCACCCGCGGTGAGCTAGGAGCCCTGGTGGCGCAGTGGTTAAAGCGTACGTCTGCTAACCTTTAGGTTGGCGGTTCGAACCCACCAGCTGATGTGGCAGTCGGCTGCCGTAAAGATTTCAGTCTTGGAAACCCTATGGGACAGTTCTATTTGTCCTACAAGGTCGCTGAGTCGGAATCCACTGAAGGCAACCGCATTGGTCTTTGGTGGTTAGCTAGGGCTCCCTCAGTCCCCGGCAGCCCCTAGTGTTCTCTCTTCCCTACTCCCTCAGATGCAGAGGGTGTGTGTGTGTGTGTTTTCCTGTTTCACTGCAGTCCTTTCCCTAGTGCAAGTTATTGTATAGGACTTATAATAATTTATTTTAAATGTTCTTTGCATGGGGGATTTGGGGCAAAGCAGCTCCAAGGATTTTCAGGTCTGACTTGCATAAAAACCAACCAGTTGCCTTGGAATCCATTCCAATTTATGGCGGCCCCACGTGTGTGTCAGAGTAGAAATGTGCTCCATAGGGTTTTCAGTGGCTCTTTTTTAGGAAGTAGATCACCAGGCTTTTCGGTCCCAAGCGCCTGTAAATGGACTCAAACCTCTAATCTTTCGGTTAGCAGCCCAGATAGATTATAGTTTTTCTTGAAGCAGCGCATGTTGTTGTCACGTGTAAAAAGTTCTCAAACTGTGTGGCAACCAGGTGCCGCGGGACAGCGGGCGCTCATTTTAGGATTTAATCTGGCTGCTTCTTGGGTGGTCGCTTATTTTGTAACACACTTCAGTGAACAACTCTTTCAGATTGGATGAAAAAAGTGGGCTCACCTTTTGTAATTCTTCTGGATCTTTAAAAAAAACCAACTTCAGACAGGGAAAAATAAAAATGTGTTGAGGCACCATTTCTAATACATTAAAATAAGTATAAGGGATATGTAAGTAAGTAAATAAGTATAAGGGATCTGTCTCCTATAAATATATATACTAATTTATTATTTGATAGAGAAAAAGAAAATCTAACACAATAACTTTTCCTACCTGTACTTGTGGTGCAAAAGTCTTGCCTGATCATTAAATAGAATATGAAATCAAAGGAAAAGGGTTTTACTCTCCCCATGCCATCTGCTGTTCATTTCATTGTATGCCTAAAATATTTCAGAAACCATTATATATCTTGGTAATTTTTTCTGCAGTTAAGACATAGTGTATCAGTTATCTCCCCAAGGTGGTTGTGACAATGGAGTTAAATGGCTGTGAAGCACTCAGAACAGTGGTTAAGAGCTCAGTAAATACTGGTTATTTTTATTACCACCATCTTAGGCTCATTGAAAGCAGGACCAGGATTTCTTTTCGTTTCCTCATTACCTCACCCAGTTGCTTAACAGGTAGGAGGTGCTCAATAAATATTTATCCACTGAATGAGATTCGGGGTTTCAGCTTTTGCACTCTGGACTTTATCCAGCTTGAATGACCCGGAAACTTCCTGTCCTTTTGCCTAATTTTCAGGGTCTCCTCTGTTTGACTCCTGAAAATACTCCATCTATCTGAGCCCCAGTTGACTGACCTGCTTTTCTGAAAGCAGCAGATAGAAAGGAATTTGTCCTTTTTTTCCTTAAATATCCTGTTGTCTCAGAATATTTTATTACCTTTATTACTTTTATAGCCTGTGGTTATTAAGTTTTTCTCTTGTCGACCTTAAGACATATAAATGCAAAGCATATTCTTGCATTTTCAGAATTATAATTGTATAATTTTAGGCTTTTAAAGCAATAGCTATTCACAGTAAAATGGTTAAGTGCCTGAGCTTGGGTTCTAATCCTGGCTCCACCATTTTATTAGCTGTGAGCTACTTGACAGGTGGTGCAGTTAACCTCTCACAGCTTCAAATTCTTCTCCATAAAATGGGTACCAAACCTACTCCAGTTTCAGAGACAGTAAATGCTAAGCTCCTTGAACAGCAGCCAGCCCACAGTAAGCTTTCAATACTTGTAATTTTGAGCTACTGAATGTTACTGAGACCGGTTCTCAAACTGTGGTCTCTGAACCAGCAGTATTAGTAACATCTGGAAACTTGTTAGAGATGCAAATATTTTTGGGCCCACCCCAGACCTACTGATGTCGATTTCTTAGTTTTTGAGAAACATTTCAGGATTACATACAATGTTAACATTAAGGGAAACTGGGTGAGGGGCAAGCAGGAGCTCTGTATTATCTTTGCAACTTTTCTGTAAATATAAAATTATTCCAAGATGAAATTTTTTTTTTTAATCTGAACATATAAAAAGCTGCTTCTACTAATTTTTGTGTATAATCTATGACCACAAATTATTTTACAAAGACGTTCTGAGTTTTTCTTCAGAAAACCAATAGAGCTGCTAGGAAAATGCACATAAGTTTAAAGTTAACCTGGCCAAGCATTTCAATATTAAATATTGATAAAAATTAAACATTGGAAATGGTGTGCAAAACTGTACCCTTAACAAAAGTTTGAAATGGAGTGTGACTTAAGGGTACCATTCAAATTGGAGCAAGTTAGGAACCTGGCCCTTTAACCCAGAACATATTTTTCCTTCTCCCAGTTCTGCCTATAACAACTTCCCAAAGAACCACCTTTCTTTGTGCTGCCCTTCTGTGACTTTGCAAGTTTATCTAAACATCGTTGGCCGTAGTTTACCCAAAAGATAAATGACTTGGGATCCTGGGCTAGGGAAGGTCAAACAGCCAGTGGTAAGCAAAGAAAAGTACTGGAAAATAACAGCGCTCGAAAGGGTTGAAAAGTTTTCAACATTCAGACATCTTCAGGAGTAGCCAAGGTTTTCTGGGGTTTGCTCTTATACATCTTACTAATTGTTAAATAAGAGATTTACTATAAAGGGTAGTTCCTTGTGTCTTGCCCTTTTGTCTCCACAGTTTTAAGAATTAAAACAACATCAAGAACAGTTTTTTATTAAACCACTAGTAGTAAAAGGTTACAGTCTTTTGAAAGTATCCCAGACTCTACTATAAAGATCAAGTACTAGGCTATGGGACCTAATCTTTTGTAAAAATAGGATAACAAACATAACAAATGCACAAATAGAAGACAAAATAGACAAATGGGACTCATAAAAATTAAAAACTTATGCTCATCAAAAGACTTTATTAAAAGAGTGAATAGACAACCTAAAAATCAAAACCAAACCTGTTACCACTGAGTCGATTCCAACTCATAGCGATCCTATAGGACCGAGCAGAACTGCCCCATAGGGTTTCCAAGGAGCAGCTGGTGGATTTGAACTGCTCACCTTTTGGTTAGCAACTGAAGCTCTTAATCACTGCACCACTGGGGCTCCAGAAACAGACAACCTAGAATGGGAAAAAAATCAAAAATGACTTACCTGATAGGGGTCTAATTTCTAAAATCTATAGAAAACTTTGACAACTCAGCAACGAAAAGACAATCAAAATGGGCAAAGGATATGAACAGAAACTTCACTAAAGTGGACATCCAAGCAGCCAACAAACATATGAAAAGGTATTCATGAATATTAGCCATTAGAGAGATGCAAATCAAAACTACAATGAAATACCATCTTATCCCAGCTAAAATGGCACTACTAAAAAAAGAACAAAAACAGCTAACAAGAAATGTTGGCAAGGATATAGGGAGACTGGAACCCTTATCCATTGCTGGTGGGACTGTAAAATGGTACAACCAGTATGGAAAACAGTATGGTGCTTTCTCAAAAAACTACAAATAGAACTACTCTATGATCCAGCAATCCCACTCCTAGGTAAATACCCCAAAACAAAAACAAAAACAAAAAAAACCATTGCCGTTGAGTCAATTCTGACTCATAGGAACCCTACAGGACAGAGAAGAACTGCCCCACAGGGTTTCCAAGGAGTCGCTGGTGGATTCAAACTGCTGACCTTTTGGCTAGCAGCCTGAGCTCTTAACCACTGTACCACCCCTAGAGTCCGAAAAGTAATGACACAGAGATAACATATGTTCATTGCTGCTTTATTTACAATAGCAAATAAATGGAAACAACTGAAGTGCCCATCAACAAATGAATGGATAAGCAAATTGTGGTACATATATACAATGGAATACTACACAACCGTAAAAAAATTGATGAGTCCCGAAACATAGACCATGGATGCACCTGGAAGGCACAATGCTAAGTGAAATAAGCCAAGCATATAAGGACAAATAGTAGGTATGATCTTTCTTTTATAAGAACACAAGAATAGATATATATAGAGAGAGATCAATGTTCATTGGTGGCTACCAGGGAGAAGGGAGGGAAAAGTACGCTTTAGATCGTAGAGACTAGTTGTTTTTGGTGATGGGAAAAGTGGCACCGAATGTGGATGTAGTGAGCACAGCACAACCAAAGTAAAAATGAGGGTTTGAGCACATATGGAAGGGTGTAGGCATACTGGTATACAGGCAGGTACAGGTGTGGACATAGGTGAGAACAGGCAGAAGTATCTATAAACTAACCAAAACCAAACCCACTGCCGTCAAGTCGATTTTGACCCTACAGGACAGAGTAAAACTGCCACAAATGGTTTCCAAGGCTGCAGTTGTTTAATTTTTTGTTTTTTAATTGTACTTTAGATGAAGGTTTACAGAGCAAACTAGTTTCTCATTAAACAGTCAATACACATATTATTTTGTGACACTGGTTATCAACCCCATGACATGTCAACACTCTCCCCTTCTCGACCTTGGTTCCCTGTTACCAGCTCTCCTGTCCCCTCCTGCCTTCTCATCCTTGCCCCTGGGCTGGTGTGCCCATTTAGTCTCATTTTCTTTTATGGGCCTGTCTAATCTTTGGCTGAAGGGTGAATCTCAGGAGTGACTTCATTACTGAGCTAAAAGGGTGTCTGGGGGCCATATTCTCAGGGTTTCTCCAGTCTCTGTCAGACCAGTAAGTCTGGTCTGTCTTTTTTTTCTGTGGGTTAGAATTTTGTTCTACATTTTTCTCCAGCTCTGCCCAAGGTTTTAATCTTTACGGAAGCAGACTGCCACATCTTTCTCCCATAGTAGCTGCTGAGTTTAAACTGCTGACCTTTCAGTTAGCAGCTGAGTGCTTAACCACTGTGCCACCAGGGCTCCTTACAGAAGTACTTATAGGTATATGTAAATACAAATATGTAGGTGCTGGCACATATATTCATTGAAGACACAAACATGGATACTCCTTAGACATAACCAAACACCTTCCAAGAGTGGTTTTCTGGGTTTGAAAGCTTAGGACCATAGCCTCATGGGACAACTCAGTCAACTGGCATAACACAGGTCACAAATCTCATGATCTGCATACTAGTGAACTGAGTAGCGTCTGGGGTCTTAAAAGCTTGTAAACGGCTACCTAAGACACAACTACTGGTCTCTATTTGCCAGGAGCAAAACAGAAAAGCTCAGAGAAGAAACAAGTCTACACCAGCCACGACCTCATCTACCCTGAGACCAGAAGAACTAGATGGTGCCCAGCTACCACCACTGACCATTCTGACCAGGGTCGTAATAGATGGTCCCAGGCAGAATGGGAGAAAAATGTGGAGAACTCAAATTCTTTTAAAAAAAAAAAAAAAAAGAGAAGAGGACTCCCTGAGACTATTGCCCTGAGACACTCCTTAAACCTAGAACTGAGCCTAGTCCCTGAGATCACCTTTTAGGGAAATAGCACACAAAATAAAGGATATTACCTGTAAGATCGGTGCTCTACTTAAAAACCATCTGTATAAGACCAAAAAGTCAACAATTACTCAAAAGCAAAGATGAGAAGATAGCAGGACAGGGAAACTAGAGTACTGGAAATGGAACAAGCAGAACACAAAGAGAATGGTGACGCATTGTGATAAATGTAATTAATGTCACCGAACAATTTGTGCAGAAATTGTCAAATGGGTTGCTGTGTAAACTTTCACCAAAAACAAAAGATTATTAAAAAAAAAAAAAAAAAAAGAACAAGTGCTAGGAAAAAAACACCACAGCATACCAGCATATAGTGTTCTGATATGTGTTATGTTCAACAACTTTTCATTTGTCTCATTAAATTCTTCTTTTATTCAATGTAGGCGAAGGTTATAGTAAAATATGACATTTGTCATGAATGGTTCATAAAATAGGAGTGGCTGTGCTTCTGAATCTTGTTCATGTCACTTTCTGTGCATAATATGTAATACCTACATGTTCTAGTTTTGTTCCCTAAGAGGTTACCAGCTGATGGTACCAATCATACAAGAGGAACAGACATGGAAATCTTGTCCATATAAATAGTCCTGCCATTAACAGATGCATCACTTATTCATATGCTAAACAGCTTATAAAGAAACAGCATATTATGTGCCATTAAAATAGAGAAAAAATAAAGTCAGATCCTTCCAGGCATAAATATATAAGTATTTAAATTTCACAGTAAACAAATATACTTCTAAGTGAGGATTTTCCCCTATTTCCAATTAAGATAATGTTGGACGTATCCTACAATCAACTTTTAATTCTGGCCTCCTTTTTTTGGCTGCAAAAACTGAGCTGCAGATGCTTTCTTTTAAACAATTCTCCCCTTAACACACACCTCTCTCACAGATGGGTCACTAAAGCAGCAACTCTCAGGAAGACACCTGAGAAGGAAGGCATGCCCTTCCTCCTATTCCCCTCTTACCACACCCTTTTGTTTTCGTTTGAGGTTATAATGTCAAAATATAAAGTCTTGTAAGGTCTGAAGATAATTAATCTACAAAATAAGGCAGTTTTGTGATGCGAAAACATTAGTTCTTTGCCGAAGGTTATGTTCTTCCATCTTCATCTGCTGTTACCAGCCCGTGGCATCTTCTTTAAAGATCAGTTTTTTCTTCATAGGGACACCAACATGCGCCTCTTTGGCTGTCTAGGTACGGTTTACAGCCTAAATGTATAACACTGTCAAACAAGAGCTCCACTGTTGTTTCACACGCTGCAAAGTAACAAAACACCGTTACTGCTGGGCAACTGCAGTGCATCTCTCTCTTCACATATATTACAAGCTGCAGCCCAGCCTCAAGCACATCTTTAGTGGGCTCTTGAAAGCATGCTAGATGAAAGTCATCCCAAACCCTTCCAACTAGTACCACGTGTGTACACAGACTTTAAATTTTAGTCTCTTTACCATGTATCTTACTTTTGTTTGCATTCAATTGCTCAACCTAATTTTTTGTACTAGACAAATGATAGCCTCTCTCAATAGCACTTATCAGTTAATCAGTGTTAACTTTCCTTTTATCTGAAAAATATAATCACTAGTAGAGATGCCAGATAACACTATTAAATTTGCATTTCAAGGAAAGATGTTGAAGGTGCAGAAGAACTGAAGGTTTAAAAAATAAAAAGAAAAATCATGGTCAATTGCTTCTCTAAGAACTGATCACATCATTTAAAATGCTCAAAGTAAATGCAACCCAGTCTCCTTCTTTGACCAATATTCAAATATGGCTGGTGGGAGGGAGGGTATAGGAATCAAAGGTGTTTTTATCCTGTTAGTTTATTTTTTTACTAGAATAAAAACAGTTAATGGATTTACTTTTTTTTATTCTAAGAAACCTATAACACCCAGGTAGGATTATCTTAACATGTTACACTTACAGAAATGTAAGTTGTCCAAATACCTCAGTTTCAACATGTTACAGAAGAAACTTCACTGATTTCATTAAAAATTCATAACATTTTCTAGACAATAGATAACTGGTAACTTTGGTGAAAGGTGAGACAGTACACAATACTGGGGAAGCCAGCACGACTTGTATAAGGCAAGGTTGTGGAGACCATGATCTTGGGGAACATCTAGCTCAATTGGCATAACACAGTTTATAAAGTAAATGTTCTATATTCTACTTTGGTGAGTAGCATCTGGGCTCTTAAAAGCCTGTGAGTGGCCATCTAAGATACTCCACTGGTCTCACCCCTTCAGGAGCAAGGGAGAATGAAAAAAACTAAAGAGACAAGGGAAAGATTAGTCCAAAGGACTATTGGACCACAAGGACCACAGCCTCCACCAGACTGAGTCCAGTACAACTAGATAGATGGTGCCTGGCTACGACCACTGACTGCTCTGACAGGGATCCTGGACGGAGATGGAGAAAGATATAGAACAAAATTCTAACTCACAAAAAAAGACGTCTTACTGGCCTGACAGAGACTAGAGAAACCCCAAGAGTATGGCCCCCTGACACCCTTTAGCTCAGTAATGAAGTCACTCCCGAGGTTCACCCTTCAGTCAGAGATTAAACAGGCCCATAAAACAAAACAAGACTAAAGGGCACACCAGCCCAGGGACAAGGAGTAGAAGGCAGGAGGGGACAGGAAAGCTGATAATAGGGAACCCAGGTTGAGAAGTGTGAGTGTTGACATGTTGTGGGGTTGGTAACCAATGTTGTAAAATAGTATGTATACTAACTGTTTAATGAGAAGCTAGTTTGTTCTGTAAACCTTCATCTAAAGTACAATTAAAAAAAAAAAAAATCGTAACATTTTCAAAGTTCTCCAAAAGACTGTGCCGTTAAGGAACACAACCAGCTCCAGAAGTGCAGAGGCTAGAACCATTAAGTATGAGAAAACAGAAAATACATCCATCTACACTTCAGCTGTACAACTAGTTTACCTTAGCCAAAAGCATGCAAGGGGATACAGAGGTTGTGAGTTAAAGCCTCACATGGAGAAGAGATATCTTTCATGACAGTTATTACTTAGGATTTCAGAATTAGATCTTTAATGTGAGACTAGGAAGAATATTGTAGTAGACAGAACATGAGTTTTAGAGTCAGACAGTCCTAGTCTGAAGGCTCAGTGTGTAAGCTGGGGCATTTTACTTCTTTCTTTACCTCAGTTTCCTTCCTTGAAAAATGGGGATATCACCACCCACCGCACTGGTAGCATGAAATGGAAACATGTATAAAGTATCTAGCACAGTAGTTTATGGTAAGTGCCTAAAAATGTTAGTTTCCTTTCCTGCCCCTTCCCGTTACCCTTCCTCTTCTGATTACAGCATATGGTACATTCCTTGGCTTGACAGGAAAGAAATGCTGTAACTACTAATATCTGAATAGCGATTTATATTTCCACAAACACTATTTCATTTTACCCTTATGACATCTCTGTCATGCGGGCATTATCATTCTCCCCATTTTATAAACGAGGACACCAAAGCTCATAGAGGCTAAGAATTCTATCCAAGCATACACAGAGACAAAGCTGAGATTCAGATCTTCTAGAACCCCCTATTTCAAACCAGTGTACTTTATTCTGTTCTTAGGTTCACTGGATTCAGGGCTTCAAACTTTAGGCGTGGAATAATTAAAGAGACACCAAAGGACACAAGGTGGATGAATTCTCTCTTTCTGCCTCACACACCCTCCCCACAAGGTTTCCTAACCCTTTTTGCTTCTGTGACTATAAACCATTTTAGATTACATGAATCACTGGCTCCTTACTTCAGAAATGTAAAGGGGCTGTGTGATAATAGATCACATACAGAGAATGGTTTCTACTGATAAATCCCATACTAAAACATAAAGCATTCAATAACACTTCAAGCACTGTAGTCATCCTTACCCTGAACGTGCTGAGCTAGTCCTAGTGTTTTCTGCACGTCTCGGCAGATCTTGGAGAGGCAAAACTGGAACTCCTCGTCACAGTCATTCTTGCTTTTGCCACAGGTCTCATAGCACCTGTCATGGCGGTTGCAGCACTTCGTCAGGGAAGGGATGCCGACGTTAAGCTGAAAGAGGCATTTGGGTGGATTATTGTCAATGAAACTCAAAACTTCTCTGTGAAATACTGTATTCAAAACGATTTAGAAACAAATGACAAGGACTGCTTTCTAGATAATTTTCAAAATCCATTTCTGTCTGCCAATATTTTCCATGTTATGAATCTCCCCATTACTCTCATTCATACTTAGCAGGTTACTCCTTTGTCAGCCATGCCTCACTCTCCCTGTTTTGAATTGTTAAAATATTCACAGCTATCTGCCGGTAACAAACACAACTTCCAACTCTTCAAAACGGTTTTAAAAACAGAAGCATAAGGTTAATGGCATGAAAATATTTTTCTAGGGGTTCGGCAAGTTAGGACTTCTGGGTATTTCAGTGTTTTGTGTTGTGTCCCCACATCCCCAAAATAAAACTTATTTTATGTGAAATGTCACTGAGAGCTTTTGAGCTTGTACAACTCAAATTTTGTTTTGTTTTTAATATTTAAGTGTTTATCTATTCCCCAGTGATACCGTTACTTCAGATCTACAGCTTACCTTTAGTTGTTTTAAATAACTTCATACATAAAGCCCTGTGGCTAGGAATGATTCTCATAAAACACTTTCTCTGTAACACTTGGCTCAGATCCAGCCTCAGGTACAACACACAGCTATCCCACTTAGCCTAGTTTTGATATAGAAAATATTATGTTTTATCTATACCTTTTCTTCCCTAAGAAGTATCATTTCTGTACTCTAAATTAAACTTTTAAGCCACGTTTGTGACATTAGAAAATATAATTTAAATGGTATTAACATCCATAAGATTAAAAGATAAAATATTTATTTTTCTCCACTTAGTTTTGTTAGGAGTTATTAAATATATAGTTACCTTTAGCCACAAAAGAACGTAATAAGCCTGATCACTATGACAACAAGCAAAATTATTTATGACCCTGAGAACACAATGATAGTCTGCATTTTCAAAGTACTATATAGGCTCCTGGTCATAAAGCTTATCAAATAAAAAACAATATTTACATGAACACCAAACAGCGGAGAGCCACATCCATTCGGTGGGGAGGGTTTATAACCATAACGTGGGTAAGGCTTAGATCCTGTAAAACAAAGACAAGATCCATAATTTTCAAATAGAAATAAAATGCATACTCAAAACAGTTCTAAAATGTGCTATACTAGCCTTGGAAATAACCAGTATTTACTTGGATGGTGATTTAAGTGAATATGTATCTTTATTCTAATATGCATTAAGAATATTAATTTTGTCTACCTAATTATTTTTATCTTTCCTGTGATGAACAGTGTAGAATATATACAAATGTATACCTATACTTTAAGCGCTCTGCCGCTAACCAAAAGGTTGGTTGTCAGAACCCACCAGCCGCTCCATGGGAGAAAGATGTGGCAGTCTGCTTCTGTAAAGATATACAGCCTTGAAAACCCTATGGGGCAGTTCTACTCTGCCCTACAGGGTCACTATGAGTTGTAATCGACTCCTCAGCAATGAGTTTATACCTATATTATAATATGCACATAAATGGCAGTTCCTAAAATGTAATTTTTATTTGAAAGCCTATGCCATACAAGACAGAAAAGCTTATGTCAGACTTCTGGAGGTATGAGAGGTTACATGCCAGACTGGGTCCATATGTATGAAGGGTAAATGCACCCTGTTTTCCTGCATCCTAACACTTTTATTTTTCTGGTTAAAACCTACAGCGCGAGGTCTGTATCTTCCCAACCTTCAGCACATGCACCATTAAACACAAACCTCAATAACCACTAACAAGTTTACTGAACTGGAGCCTAAAGCTAAGGAAGACAAGGTCATTCGATGATCATTTAATCACCTTAATACCATTACAAGACATTACAGGACCACACATTCTGCCCCCACTCCAACTAGCCATTTCACAAATACACTCCTTTGCCAGCTAAAGGAAAAGGTCAGCAAGAGAGATGGCCTTGTGGACCCTGTTGTTCTGTCTACACTCTTACTCACTAATAGCCCAGAGAATGAATTTCACCACCCGTGGTTCAGAAACCAGGAGAAAGGTGACATTACCATAAAAATCTTAAGTGTTGGAGAGTACTTCAGAAATATCTCGCCTCCTCTAATACAGAAGTCACTTTGACATCCCAGTCAACTACTTTCTCTTTCAGTACTTCCTGGGATCTGGAGCTCCCTACATCAACAGCCTATTCCACTGCGAAACAGCACTAACTGTTCTTTCTTCTGCCTTCTAACAAATTCTATCCATAAGCAATCTTCTGCTTACAGATTAAAAATGAAATATCCCCAGTCATTTCAACCATACCATATGGCATAGTTTCATAGTCATTAGCCCAACCCTTTGGGCAGACTACTCAACCAGCTGTGACTTCACCTAAATGAAGTTTTATTTAGCCTACAGTTCTCACACGAATATTATGAGAAAGTGGACATTTTAGCTATAGTTTCTCTTTGTCCTACCAAACTAGAAACCTCTTCATAGAAAGGGAGTAAGGCTAGATCAACATTATATTCTTGGGGAACCCATTCTGGCTCACAAGGCTTCGTCACAAAGCTCGCTTTTATCTAGGGTTATAACAATCTATGGTTTAAATTGTTTAGAAACTTATCTAGAGACAGACATTAAGCAATGGGTCCAAACGTTAATCTGGAGAAATGATAACGGGCCTAGAGTTTTGAAAAATATGTGGGTTTTTAATTTCCTCTTCTCAAGAGTCTTTTTACATTAGGAAGATATTTCACTCAATGTTGCATAGCAGTCCTTCTATTTTTCCTTCCCTTTGTGTTTCATCTAAATCCATAGGCTTTTCTTAGATTTCCAGTCTAAAAAAATACTCCCTGCCATAAACTGAAATGGGGAAGACCATGGAAAGAACAGATTCCAGGTTGGTAGGAAAAATAACAGCATGTTTGTATGCTTTTAGGACTGATTTAGTACAGAATAAAAACGCTGATGAAGGAGAGAGGGAAAAGAATTATTGGAGTCATACCCTGGGGTAAGAGGGATGCATTCTAGTGCATAAATAGAGGCTGGCTAGGAGTGGAGATAGCATGTCCCTGTTCATAGGAAAGGTAGAGGATGTGGACAGAGACGCTGCTGGTTCAAGTTCTCTTCTGATTCCCTCAGTGAAGTAGGAATCAAGATCATCAGCCGAGAGAGAAGATGGGAATGGGGATGTTGGACTGGTAACATTTAGGCATAAATTTAAGAAGCAGTGAAAATTTTCTTAACACTTTTCAGCATACAAGATACAGCTCATTTTTAACCTTCATAAACATAAAACTAGAAATTATTTTGAGTTACAGAGAGCAGAAGGCATCATATTTTTACATGATACAGGTTCCTGTTAAGTTCATCTATACATACAATCTGGTTTTACCATTAAAGTCATTGAATTCCATAGTATTTAAGCTGCCAGCATTAACTTAACTAGACCCAGGCCTTGGCTCCCCCACTGGTCTGTCACTTTGTTGTAATGTGATAGCTTGCATGTTGCTGTGATGCTGGAAGGTACGCTACCAGTATTTCAAACACCAGCAGGGTCACCCATGGTGGAGAGGTTTCAGCAGGGCTTCTAGACTAAGACCACTAGCAAGAAGGACCTGGTGATCTACTTCTGGAAAAACTAGCCGGTGAAAACCTTATGGATAGTAGCGGAACACTGTTTGATACACTAGCGGAAGATGAGCCCCTCAGGTAGGAAGGCACTCAAAATACGACTGGGAAGAGCTGCCTCCCAAAAGTAGAGGTGACCTTAATAATGTGGATGGAGTACCGCTTTCAGGAGCTTCACTTGCTGCTGTGGTACAACTCAAAATGAGAAGAAACAGCTGCAAACATCCATTAGTAATTGGAACGTGGAATGTACAAAGTATGAATCTAGGAAAATTGGAAGTTGTCAAAAATGAAATGGATTGCATAAAAATTGATATCCTGGGCATAAAAATTGATATCCTAGGCATTAATGAGTTGAAATGGACTGGTATTGGCCATTTAGAATCGGACAATCATATGGTCTACTACGCTGGTGATGACAAATTGAAGAGGAATGGCATTGCATTCACTGCCAAAAAGAACATTTCAAGATCCATCCTGAAGTACAACACTGTCAGTGACAGGATAATATCCATATACCTAGAAGGAAGACCAATTAATACAACTATTATTCAAATGACTACAGCAACCACTAATGTCAAAGATGAAGAAACTGAAGATTATTACCAACTTCTGCAGTCTGAAATTGATCAAACATGCAATCAAGATGCATTGATTATTACTGGTGATTGGAATGCGAAAGTTGGAAACAAAAAAGAAGGATCAGAACTTGGAAAATATGGCCTTGGTGATATAAATGATGTGGGAGACTGCATGATAGAATTTTGCAGGATCAATGACCTATTTGTTGGTAATACCTTTTCTCAACAACATAAACAGTGACTATACACATGGACCTCGCCAGATGGAATATACAGGAATCAAATCAACTACATCTGTGTAAAGAGAATATGGAAAAGCTCCATATCATCAGTCAGAACAAGGCCAGGGGCCGACTGCGAAACAGACCATCAATTGCTCATATGCAAGTTCAAGCTGAAGCTGAAGAAAATTAAAACAAGCCCACGAGAGCCAAAACACGACCTTGAGTATATCTCACCTGAATTTAGAGACCACTTCAAAAACAGACTTGACACTTTGAACACTAATGACTGCAGACCAGACGAGTTGCAGGATGACATCAAGGACATCACACATGAACAAAGCAAAAGGTCATTAAAAAGACAGAAAAGAGAAAAATAGATGTTAGAAGGGACTCTGAAAGCTGCTCTTGAACTTAGAATAGCTAAAGCAAAAGGAAAAAATGATGAAGTAAAAGAGCTGAACAGAAGATTTCAAAGAGTGGCTCGATAAGCCACAGTATTATAATGAAATGTGCAAAGACGTGGAGTTAGAAAACCAAATGGGAAGAACATTTTCAGCATTTCTCAAGCTGAAAAAACTGAAGAAAAAAATCTAAGCCTCGATTCGCAACACTGAAGGCTTCTATTGGCAAAGTGTTGAACAACACTTGTTGGTTTGGCTGTACGTTTGTTAAAGTAGCGGGTCAGCAAAAAACAGGAAGGCCCTCAATGAGATGGAGTGACACAGTGGCTCCAACAACGGGCTCAAACACAGCAATGATTGTGAGGAAGGCGCAGGACGGGGCAGTGTTTCATTTTGTTGTACACAGGGTTGCTATGAGTCGGACCTGACTTGGCAGCACCTAACAACAGCAACAAATCCTGGCTAATGTTATTGGAAACATAATCTCCCAAATGCTACTTTACCATTTTGAATTTCCAAAGAGAAGCCCAAGTACTTGATCTGAACTATTAAAACATTTAAGCATTCATGAAATTAAGTGCTTCAACAAAATGATCTTTCCGAAATACTGTTATTACCTACACTGTCACCAAACAAGGTCTCAGATTCAAACAGGATTAATGTTTAAAAAGTGTGAAAACTATTAACCAACAAAGAGAAAGGGTCCTTGATACCAAAGGGAAGAAAACTCCTGTCAAATCTGATAAACTATTTTCTAGAAAAGTTATAACTTTCTCAGCAATTGAGTACACCAAAAGTCTGTATGAAGGTCTCAATTTATATTACGTAATTCTGCAGAAAAAACATTTAAAACCAATTTTCTCGAGAAAGTTAAAATGGCCAGACTTTAAAATCCAGGTTTGCTTTTTGCACGTTCAGTTGACTAATTTATAGATACTAAGACAGAGAGCTACAATCACAGCTAGTCCCATTCCATGACCAGAATTGCTGCTCATCACGTTCTTAGGCAACTTGATGCAACTGCAAAGGAAAAACAGTGAATGGAGAGTACACACTAAGGCAACTTTCCACATTCTAACAACGGTGTGAACTTGCAACCAAACTGCTCAATCACAAGAACGGAAAGATTCTACCAATGGTTAAGTTTTTCCACTGCCAAAGGCCAGCGTCAAGGTCTGCCTCGCATCTGTCGCTCTCACGTTTCCACCTCAGTCACCCCAGTACCCCTGAAAGCACGGGCTTCGCTGGCCCTGGGTTCCTCTCACCGTCACTGCACTTATATTGGCAGAGCCCGTCCTCGCCACCCAGGAGGTCCAAGGCGGCGTTCAGGTACGTGTCTATCTTGTGAACGCCATTCCGGATGGTCTTAAGGGTGGCCCTCCAGTCGGTGGTCTGGGCCTGCTCCTGGCACCTGAGAGCGGAGGCTAGGAGGAGGCCCAGGAGGGCGAGCGCGGTCCGCGGCCGCAGGAGCGGAGCCATCCACTCAGCGCCGGGCCTCGCCGGGCCCCACGGAGACCCCTGAGCGCCCTAGGCAGCGGCGCCGGCCGGGGGCTAGGCGGCCAAGACCGACTCCATGCCCACGCCTCCTCCCTGGCTGGCCGGGCCGCCTTCGCCGCCTTCACAGCGCTCCCGGGAGGAGGCGGTGCCGTCGCAGAGGCGCGCGCTCGGGCACGCCCGCTCACCTGGGCCGGCGGCCGGCCGAACGCGCCTGCGCAGGAGCGCGGCGCGTCAGAGGCGTGCGGAGGGGCCAGAGGGCGTGTTCGCGGCGGCGTCCTCCACAGCCACGTGGTCGTTGCGGTGCTTAGCCCTCGGCCCCAGCGTTAGAGTTACCGCGGGAACTTTAAAAATACCAATGCCCGGGCCTCATCCCCAGAGAATCTGATTAAGTTGGCCTGGGGTGGCACTGGACATCAGTAGTTTTAGAAAGCTTCCCGATAGTTGTACCGCGCAGCCAAGCAAGGTGGAGAACTTCTGTGACTTAATCTGCGCAGTCCTGGTTCAGCCCCTCTAGCTCAAGGGACAAGATTCCGGATGTGGAACAACCTCAGAGACCTGAGCTCCGGTAGCCCTTGCAGAGAGCAATGCGAGGTGTCCGGCGGCGTTATGCGGTAGACCTGACCTTCCTTGGCCGAGCACGTCTTCAACTCTCGGTCCTACCACCTGCTGTGACCGCAGGGGAAAGAGCTGGAGCCCGTAGATGTCACCCCATGGCAGTGGTGGGATGCTTGACTTTGCTTACGTTGAGCTAGATGCTTGCTGCTTTGGACTTTCTGGAAGAAGAAAATGGTTTGACAGTAAAAAACACAAGTTTTCTTCTCTGATAAGGAAGAAGCGGTACTCTGCATTTGAATGCAGTAAAAAAAAAATCTTAAGGAAATCATTGTTTCCTACTCAAGGTGTTTTGTAACTTGATAGCTCCAATGATGCTTCTCTGTATTTTTTCCCAGTGGTGTGCAGGATCCTTAAATAACAGTTGCAGTAATTTTTACCAGAGCTTTAAATATCGGTTATCTTTGTATATCCTAGCAGGTTTGACGAATTTTATCCAGTAGGATCCAGGCAGTGTTGCAAGTGTTGGGACTAAGTGTGCCCTTCCTGTAATAAGAATTATCAATGAATACTAGTTTGTCTTTTCGTGTGTGTTAACAAGCGTCATGAGTTTATTATAATAAATGTGCACTACAGAGTTCATAAGAATTACAGGCCTTGTTATTGAGAGCAGCTCTGGGCCAGGCACTTCACTGCGCATGATCTCTCACAGTTGGAACGCCACTTTTAGGGATGCAGCCTTTGGGTGAATTAGAGACAGAAGTCTCTCTCCGTCGGATTGCTGTAGTCCCAACTCCAGGCTCAGTTAGCAGAGAGCCAGCTGGCCTGTAGTCTGCGCTCAGACCCTCAGCCAGGCTGTGCTGTGAAGGACCTGTACCTTACTATTTCATTTCACAATGAGGAATCAAGGTACAGAGAAGTCAAGTGACAGTCTTCGGTCAAACCTTTCAGTACACTCGGAAAAGGGAATGTAGAATCATTTTCTGAGCTTTCCAGAGAATTGGTTTTCTCATCTCTAAAATACAGATGGATTAGATTACTTATGAGGTCCCACCCAGCTCCACCACCAGATCCTTAAATAAGGCTTCGTTTCTCCAAGAAAACTCCCTGGTCCAGGAATCCTGTAACCGAAACCAAACCCACTGCTGTCAAGTCGATTCTGACTCATAGCGACCCTGTAAGACAAGGCATAACTGCTCCATGGGATTTCCAAGGCTGTAGTCTTTACAGAAAGGAGCCCAGTAGCACAGTGGTTAAGCGCTCGGCTGCTAACTGAAAGGTCAACAGTTTGAACCCACCAGCCGCTCCGTGGGAGAAAGATGTGGAAGTCTGCTTCTGTAAAGGTTACAGCCTTGGAAACCCTATGGGGCAGTTCTACTCTGTCCTACAGGGTTGCTATGAGTCGGAATCGACTTGACGCCAATGGGTTTGGTTTTTGGGTTTGGTAATCTTTGCAGAAGCAGACTGCTACATCTTTCTCCCCTGGAGTGGCTAATGCGTTGAACCGCCGACCTTTCGGCTAGCAGCCAAGTGCTTAACCACTGCACCACCAGGACTCCTTGGTCCAGGAATAAGTCTTCCAAAATAAAGGACAGACTACCGCTAGGTAACCTGGTCCCGGAGTCCCTGGTGGTGCAGTTAATGCACTAACCAAAAGGTTGGAGGTTCGAGTCCACCCAGAGACGTCTTAAAAGGTAGACTTGTCAATCTACTTCTGAAAAATCAGCCATTGAAAACCCTATGGGGCACAGTTCTACTCTGACACACATGCGGGTCACCAGGAGTCAGGATCCACTCCACGGCAACTGGTTTAGGTTTTTTTTTTACACTTGGTTCCAGCCTCAGTTAAGTTAGGTCCAAAGCCTTTCTCTTTTTTCTTTTCTGTATACACTGACTCCTAGGTGATCTCATCTAACTCCTTACACCTTAGTTACAGCCTCTGCTCTGAGGATTCGTATTTATTTTTCCGGGTCTCATGTCTCCTTAGGGATTAAATTCTCCAATGCCAGTTCCTGTCTTCTCTTCTCTCAAGCAAATCTTGTTTGCTGTGTTCGCTTTGCAAATCACTACCTCCTTTCAGGAAAACAGCATTCTAAATTTTATGTTCTGCATTCTCTTCATAATCAGTAGGTATTTGCTCTTCTGCTGCAGTAACTCCAAGATTTACTTTTTTCTTTTAACTCTTGCTGTCAAATACCAAGACTAGACATTGACCACAGGACCAGCTGCACAATTTGAGGGACCCAGTACCAAAAAAAAAAAAAAAAAATGCAGGACCCCTTGTTCAAAAATTTTAAGAATTTTGAGAAGTTGACAGCAAAGCATTAAACAAAGTGCAGGACCGTTCTGAGTGTGGGGCCTTGCACAACTGCACAGGTTTCATGCCCTGATTGACCATATCATGTAGCTTCTAGATTATCACTTCCATCTTTTCTTCTCAAAAATTAGCACAAAATGTTTGAAAGAGCCTTCTTTACAGGGTACTTTTCATCTAATCAGCAAAATCTGTGCTTATCCCTCTTTATTACTGTGGCAGACATAGTTGGTTGCAATCCCACAGCTGTCTTTCAGGTCTTTCCTGCCAGAGAATGGCATTTTTTTTCCCATTGCCACTGAGCCAATTCCAGCTCCACAGAGTTTTCAAGGAGCGGCTGGTGGATTCTAACTGCCAACCTTTTAGTTAGCAGCTGACCTCTTAACCACTGCACCACCAGGGCTCCAGAGAATGGCTAGTCTGTCCATATATACTTTGGCCCAGTGTCTCTCCACCACACCAGGGGAAAAATTTTGATTGGCTTAGACCAATCATAGTAATTACATTTCTCTTTCCTATCATTGGTTTGGGAATAGGCATGTGATGCCATTTGGGCTGATGAGATGAGAAGTCTGCATAGGGGCTTCCAGAAACATTTTCCTCCCTCTTAAAAACAGATAGGAGGCAGGGGTCTGCTTTCTTCACTTTCCTGCCTCTAGGTATTGTTGAGTGATGATGGGAAATTGGAGTTGCTGCAGCCATCTTGTAGCCATAAGAGGGCAAGCCTGTAGATAAAAGCCAATAAGCTGAGGATGACAGAGCAGAAAGAGGGAAAGAATGTGGGTTCTTGATGACTTAATGGGGCTGCAAAGGCCAACTCTCCTGCATCTTGTTATATGAAAGGATTCATTTTCTATACTGTTTAAGCCCGTTCATTGTTTCATTCACTAATTATATATTTAGCACCTACTAGCTGCCAAGCACTGTTCTTGGGAATCTAAATACAGCAGAGAACAAAATGAAACAAAAGGAAAACCACTACTCTCTACGAACCTAACTCCTGGTGGGAAGATAATAAACAAATAATATGACACATAGACGTAAGTGTTACAGAGACAGCTGAAGTAGGGAATGGAGGTTAGGGAGTGTTGTGTTCCTGTAGTTGTGAACATGGGGTTCCTATTTTATGTGGAGTGGTGATGGAGTGAGCCGTGGAGATTTCTGGGAAACGAATATTCTAGGCAGGCTGAGGGATGAACAAGTACAAAGGCCCTGAGGAGAGAAGGCCATATTCAGGGAACTGCAAGACAGAATTTGATTTGAGTGGTGTGATGGAGTGAGAGTGAGGTCATAGAGGGTGGAGGTGAGGGGATATGGTGGTGTCAGGCTTTCATTCTGAGGGAGCTGAGAAGCCACCAGAGGATTCTGGGTAGAGAAATGACATGATTTACTGCTCTTGCTGCTGTGCTGAGAATAGACTGTAGGTTGACAGGAGGTGAAGCCAATCAGCAAATAAGGAAGCTATTGCTATAAACCAGATAAGATATGATTACGGGGTTGGCCCAGGCAGGGAGCAGTGGACGTGTGAAATGTCACATTCTGGGTATAACTTGATGGTAGAGCCAACAAGGTTTGCTGATGGATTGAATGTGAGATGTCAGGAAAAGAGAGGATTCAAGGATGGCATTGAGGTTTAGGCCTAAGCAATTGGAAGTAGAGTTCTCACTAACTGAAATGGGAAGAACTGTGCAAGGGGCAGGTTTGGGGAAAATTTTAGGAAATCAATTTCAGGCATACCATGTTTGAGAGGCTTATTCTGAGTCTGTAGTTTAGAGGTGGGGTAAGGGGTAAAAACAAACGTGGAAGTCATCAGCACAGAGATGGATTTGAAAGCCAGGAGACTAGATGAAATCCTCTATAAAGTGAGTGTGGAAAGAGAAGCAGAGTAAGGTCTAAGTTTTAAGAGATCAGGGAATTAAGACCCAGTAAAGGAGCCCTGGTGGCACAGTGGTTAAGAGCTGGTTTAAATTTACCAGCCACTCCTTGGAAACCCTATGGGGCAGTTCTACTCTGTCTACTCTGTCCTATAGGGTCAATATGAGTTGGAATTGACTCAACGGCAATGGGTTTGGTTTTTGGGTTTAAAGGTGACTGAAGGAGCCCGGGTGGTGCGGTGGTTAAGTGCCTGGCTGCTAACCGAAAGGTCTGTAGTTCGAACCCACCGGCGGCTCCACGGGAGAAAGATGTGGCAGTCTTCTTTCATAAAGCCTTGGAAACCCTGTGAGGCAGTTC